CCTAGCCGTTCCCTGACATGGTCTGAATGGCCGTGGATGTTGTAACTGATGTTTATGTTGACCTTTGACACGTGCAGTTTCTTCAGACTTCTAAGTTCAGCTTCTCTAGGCTTTTCACCTTCTGCTCACTATTCTTGAATTTAAAACGGAGACCTTTCTAGGCATGAGCCTAGTGTCAGAGCGCTTGCCTAGCATGAGTAAGGTCGTGGGTTCAATGCTGGTACCAACCCAGGAAGGAAAAAAGATCGTGAGCTAAGTCATCCCGACACTTCCCGGGTCAGGCCTGAGAGGGTGGCCCTGCCTTTCCCTCCTGAGATGTCAGGGTCTGGGCAGTGAATCCCCACTGCTCTGCAGCCCGCACTGTCTGGCAATGTGAAGATGGTTTCTTGTTCATACCAACACATCTGACTTTTGATTTGTTTTGCATGGTTTTTTTTTTTAGAAATGTTTATATAACATGCTTTCCATATCAGGGAAAATCTTATGTTTAATAAATTGGCTATAATTTTAATATCTGTGGACAACTTGTAAAGTTTGGAATGTATCATATGTAAACAGTTTAAAGATATTCAAATAAAGGCTCTAGGTGTTGACATTACTCCAGCTGCTGTCTAGTGTTGTTTCACACGTAGAACCCAGCAAAGCTCCCCGTGTCACCTTGCTGCAAAAGTGGGACATTGATATTAGCCTAAAATTTAAGAGGCTTAAACTATTAGTGTCATTTATGGCCACTACCCAAGCCTCGCTGACCTTCCCGGGGAACATGGACATTATCTCAGCTGATCAGGTTTCCTGCTGGCTCTCTCTGAGCCCTAGAAGTCTCCAGGGCCATTTCAGACCTCAGCTCCTTAGGAAGCAGATCTGCGTGGGATTCTTGCACGTGTGCGCTCTTGCTTGGCCTTGCCTGCTTGCCTCCCTGCCAGTCCATGTACACTCAGCAGGCACTTGGTGCTTGAGATGTGTACAAGAAGGGAACTTATTCAGAGCAGAGTTCTGTGTTCTCAGAATTCTCTTACCTGGACACTGTCAGAGGTCAGGCTCCCCACGGTGACACTGTCAGAGGTCAGGCTCCCCACGGTGACACTGTCAGAGGTCAGGCTCCCCACGGTGACACCGACAGAGGTCGGGCTCCCCATGGGGACACTGTCAGAGGTCAGGCTCCCCACGGGAACACTGTCAGAGGTCAGGCTCCCCATGGGGACACTGTCAGAGGTCAGGCTCCACACGGGGACACTGTCAGGCATCGGGCTCTCCAGTGCACCTCCAGCTGACTCCTGTCCCAGGGCAAGTGTCTCTCACTGGCTACTGGGTTTCTCTGTGTAGTACTGGCTATTCTGGAACTGGTCTATAGCAGCCAGGCTAGCCTTGAACTCAGGGATTCGCCTGTCTCTGGCCGCCAAGTGCTGAGATTAAAGGTGTGGGTCACCACTGCCCAACTGCTCTATCCCCACTCTTAGGGAGTGGTGTTTACTGAGGTCTTCTTTACAAACAGTACGCAAGTAACCCTTCCTAGAACACAGGGTTGTTTTTTACGTTTTAACAAATGTACACAGTGTTTGACAACTACCACAATTAAGAATGTGAACAGCCCTGTCGCCCCAGAATGTCCCTTCATGCCTCTCCTCTCCTCCCCCTGCCCTGAATCCTGTCCTGCACTCCTTCCAGAATGGTAGGTGACTAACACAGGTGCCTCCCCAGCCTGCTGCTTTGCGTACTGATACATTTTAAACCTGAAGACCATAGCTTAGTCAGCTGCCTCACATACACAAAGCCTTGCGTTTCATCCCAGGACAAAAACTGCTGTGGCCTACAACACCAGCACTTAGCAGGATCAGGAGATAAAGGTCATCTCAGGTACATAGTGAGTCTGAGGCCTGGATATATGAGATATAGTTTATAAAATAAAAGTATTAAAAGCAAGAGTGGCCTTGGGGAAGCCAGAAATGGAATGGGACTTAGTTTTTGTGACTTGGCTCCCCAGGGCACGTCCAGCCTGTGGTTGCCTTCCATGGAAGGGGGGCACAGCTAACATGGCCTCACAAGCCCAGGGCACAACATTTGAGAGTCACACAGATCTCTGGGTGCTAGTGGATTTCACTCTGCCAAGGTTAATGTGGTCACCATCTAAGCGACTGGTGAGCAGCCTGTGCTTTCAAACACTCCTGGTAGGGTTTGTGTGGACGCAGGTTTGTTCCTGATTGGCTATGCCTTCCTTCCATCACGCTGTCCTCCTCGGCAGCCAATCCACGTCCACTGAGAAGTGGGCAAACATCTCTCCCACCATCTCGTGGACTCCGTAGCTTCCACGGGTTCAGCTCTGCCACTGACACAGCAAGAACTTGCCACACTGGGTTAACGAACCTCATTGTTTCAGCTAAGCTGCAAACCTGCTGGCCTAGCAGGTGCCGGGTGAGGAGGCCTGGGAGCCTGTTCAGCAGGAGCTCGCTAATCTTCTTAGCCCATATTGAGGTTACTCGGGGGTTTATTTGTCGATGGCTTAGTCTTGAGCTTGAAGCCTTGCCGAAGGGAGATGTAGGCTCTTACCTGAGCTGAGACTACAAACTCCCAGGAGTCCTGCCTCTCTGGGCATTCAGCATAAGAAGCCACCAACTCTTACTTCAGAAGGCTGGGTCAAGATAATAGTGATGCAGGCATTTAACCCCAGCACTCAGGAGGCAGAAGCTGGCGGATCTCTGTGAATTCAAGGCCAGTCTGGTCTATATAGAAAGTTCCAGGCCAATCAACATTACACAGTGAGATTGCATCTCAAAAACTTAAAAAAAAAAAAAAAAAAAAAAAGGCTGGGTTTGAGGCTAGCCTGGTTTACATAGCAAGTTCCAGACCAACTTGGGCCACAGTCTAAACAGAAGTCTGGGCTGGGGTGTGGCTCAGTGGTAAAAGCCTTCACACGCACAAGACAGGTGTCTACCCATCACACCACTGAAGAAGAAAGTCCATGGTTCCGTCATTACCAGTGACTCTGCCTGAGATGGGGCTGACACACCTGTTCGTGAGTTTACACAAACTTGAGGGACCTGGTGCTGGTGTGTTACTGGGCACTGTTAGATCACCAAGTTAACCCTGTCTTCTCCAAACCATACCTGCCCATAACCTGACCCAAGGAGGAATATATTTACCTATTTGGGAAAATTTGGGTTTTTTGGGTTTTGGTTTTTGTTTTTAAGAAATCCAGAATGGAAAAAAAGACTCTTTTTTTGGAGGGAGGAGGCTCAAAACAGGGTTTCCCTGTATAAACCTGGCTGTCCTGAAACTCACTCTGTAGACCAGGCTGGCTTCAAACTCAGAAATCTGTCTGCCTCTGCCTCCAAAGTGCTGGGATTAAAGGTGTGCACCACCACCACCTGGCTAAGACTTGATTTTTTAAAGTTATTGTTTATGGATCTGTGGAAGGGTGCCATGTATGTGGGTGTTCATGGGGGCCAGAAAAAGACACCCAATCTCCTGGAGCTGGAGTTACGGTGAGTATGTACCTATGGGTGCTGGGAACCGAACGTGTGTGTCCTCTGGAAAAATAGCAAGTACTCTTAATTACTGAATCAATCTTTCTAGCCTCCAACCCCTCCCCTATTTATAAGACACAGTCTCATGTAGCCCAGGCTAGCCTTGGAACTTTTTTTTCTTTTTTCTTTTCTTTTTTTTTTGTTTGTTTGTTTTTCTTTTTTCTTTTCTTTTTTTGTTTGTTTGTTTGTTTGTGAATCTCACAGAGATTCACCTGCCTCTACCTCCTGAGTGGTGGGATTAAAGGCGTGTGCCGCCACCACCTGGCTGGAAGATGCCATTGGACTCCTGGTCTCTCCAGATGCTAGGCTCATAGGCATGCACTGCCAGGCCTGGCTTCTGCCTTTTTGAACAGGTACCGGCTAGAATTGGACATCCTGTGGTACGTGCTGTTGAATGGACTGAGGCAGTCACTTAACAACAGTGAGTTTCATACAATATAGCTTTTAATGTCTCTTAATACAGCTCTTGACAGCATAGTTACACATGGGTCTAAAGTAGCTTTCACCATGGTTCTCAGCCCTCCTGAAGGATGGTGGAAAACTCAGGGTCCTCACCACAGGTGCCTGCCTCAGCCTCTGGGCCAGCCCTTGCTCTGAGGGGCTCTGAAGACTACACTGAGGGCAAAATGTGTTGGGTGTATCAGCATCTCTGATTGGGTCTTCCCCCTGAGAGGGGTTCGAACCACACGGTGCACTCCTATGCCAAACTGGCCACCCCCAGTATGGGTGCCAGCAAAACTGCTTCGCTTCCCTTCCCCTGAGAGCTTGCCTGTCTTTCCCAGAAGAAATGGCAACTTCCACAGGTAATCTAGTGTGGGAAGAAAACCTGTCTCCAGCACTCCCACAGGACTGTGTGGAGAGAAACAGAAGTTTCCAGAGGCTCTTACCCTCCTATTGACAGTACAGTCCACAGGACTGTCCTGGCCACCTGAGCCCATGTCCCCAAGCCCACCAGGGGGTAAGGCCTAGTCCCCAAGTGGACCCTCGTTTGGTTGTTCCCCCTCTTCCACAGAAGGACAGCAAGCTCACTCTGTTCTTTCTTAGCTGCAGGCGGTGGCTCCCCCAGCACTTTGTGAGTGAAGGGCATACTGGGATATGCCAGCAGCCCATGGTTCAAGCTGGAGTTAGTGAGGCTAAAGAGAAGGAGACCCCCACTTCTTCACCATCCCTGAATCCTATGTGGAGGTAACCCTCTTGGGGGGGGGGGTCCATTGCCCCTCCCCCATTATCTACCATAAGCAAACGGTGACTGTTAGCCCTGTCATTAAGAAAAGACAACATGGCCCTTAGGTTTTTCACCCTTGTGTTTATGGATTAAGTGATTGATGATTCAGATGCAGAACTTGGAACTGAAAAGAGGCAGACACTACCGGGGCAGGGGCCTTGGTGTGGCCAGTCACCTGTGGGCCATCGGCCCGTGAGACCGCATGTCCACTGAGGAGGGTTCACTCACTCGCATTTGGATGCAGCCATTTCACAAATGCCTGTCGCATGCCCTCAGGACCCTGAACTTCAAAGCCCGCTGTCAAGAAGAGTCAGTCGGTGCCCGGCTTTCTTGGGAAATTTGGGCTTTCAGCTGGACAAGGGGGTATCCACATTTCCTGGAGTCCGCTAAGTGTTGAGGAAGGGAGAGACCCCAAGCCATCAGCCAGCCTCTGGGGCCTGGCCTGCGTCTGCGCCTTCTACCTCCACCTGATTGCTCTTGCCTAGCTTCTTACAGCTCTCCACAAAGGCCTTCCAGGTCTCGGGCACACTCTTCTCCAGCAGCCAGCCCTCACTCTCGCACTCGGGGTCCTCGGGGTTCGACACATTTTCCAGCGCCGTGTGCAGGTAGCGGAGTCCAGCAGTAATGCTCACCTGATGGGGAGAGCCAAGACTTAGAGCAGACATGGGGCATAGCTAAGGGTTGGGCTGTTAGGAAAATGTGAGCACCAGCAACACACGCCTCCCCAGGTGCCGCACTAACACTGATGGTGGCACCAAACCTGGGTTGGTAAAGACTGAATCCATCCCACCCTGGCCTCCCTCTCCAGCGCCCTATCCCACCCACTCCCTGAAGCTGTTAGAACATGTAATATTCTTTGCCTAGATCATCATGGCTCTCCACAGTTGCCTGTTAATCCAGAGCCAACCATGAGTGAGTGCCCTGCCTCCCCTCTCCCTCCCCTTCTTCCTGCCTCCACCTTGCTGGACACACCAGCCCTCCCACCCTTTCACAGTGTGTTTCTTGGCCCATAAGAATATCAGCAGCTTCATGGATAGGGGCACAAAGTCATCTCCTGGTTTAGCAACCAAGGTGGCTTGACAGGTAGACATTTGCTGCCAAGAATCAACCTGAGTTCCCCATAGTGAAAGGAGACAACTAGCTACCACAGGATGTCCTCTGAGCTCCACAAGTGTGCCATGGCACACATGCTCAAACATCCACACACAAAATACAAACAAAAAACAAATATAATTTTTTAAAAAGTTACTCCTAGGTCAGGGTCAGTAACTCACACCTTTAATCCCAGCACTGGGGAGGCAGAGGCTGATGTATCTCTGTGAGTTCAAGGCCAGCCTGGTCCTACTAAAGAACTCCAGAACAGTCAGGACTGTGTAGAGAGATCCTGTCTCAAAAAACCAACCAAACAAAAGAAGTCCTTTCAGATACTGGAAGAGACTAAGCAGTCAAGAGCACTTGCTCGTTCTGAGGATCCAGGCTTGGTTCCCTGCACTCACAAAGCAGCTCATAACCATCTGTAATCCACTTCCAGGGGATCCGACCCCATCTTCTGACCTCCACTGGCAGCATGCATGCACACAATGCACAGACATGCATGCACACAATGCACAGACATGCATGCACACAATGCACAGACATGCATGCAGACAACACACACACACAAAATAAATCTGAAAAAAAAATTAAAGTTACCTCCTTGTCTGCAACCCCTGCAGTGTGGGGTCTTCTCTTATTGTCATTCATGTGGTGATGAACAGATGTTTGTCACCAGCTGCTTGCATATCTGCATTAGCACCCACTATGGCAGAGCCTAGAGCCAAAAGCACCTGGATTGGCAGTCGATTGGCAGCCCAGCCTTGTACTTGCCTGACTGGGAGACTAGGAGACAATGGCTGTACCTTCTGGCTTCCAGATTTCAGTGATGGCTACCGCCTCCCATGGATGGCTGGGTCCTGTGTGTGTCTGCTGGTCAGTGACTGGCTTGACAGCTTCTCTCTCTCTCTCTCTCTCTCTCTCTCTCTCTCTCTCTCTCTCTCCTCTCTCTCTTTTGTATCCCATTCACTGTCTGCCTCTATGCAGATTCAAGTGCCCTGTGCAGCTCCAGGCTGCCCCTAGGAGTCGGACTGTCCCCCTACCCCATACACCTGACTCATCCAGCGCCCCAGCCCTAGACCACACAGGGTGGGTCAGCACCTCACCGAACATCTGCCAGTGGGTGCACTGGGGAGAATTTAACTGTAGAGCATCTAATCATAGTGACTGGCCAATCTTAGGGACTGCTGTATGTTGAAAGCTTACTAACATGTTCTACAATGGGAAAAGTGCCCTCCTCCTGAGAGCAACCTGCTGCACCGTGACAAACTCCTGCTGAAGGAGCTGCACCGTGGACGTTTGCTCATCTCCTGACCTGTGATGCGAGGTCATGGCCAAGGTCACAGCTCTGCCAGCAGCTCTGGCAGCCCAGGGTCTATGGCAGCTCTGCTCACTAGAAGTTGGGGTGTTCAGATTCCCTGTTCCCAGTGAACCAGTCCCTGTGAGCAGTGACTTAGGAGACCAGGTGCTCCTCTACAGTCTTCAAGGACAGGCATCTCGTCATGGATTTAAACGGTGCTGACTGTCACCCTGGGGGTAGACTGCTCCCCTCAAGCCATTCATTCCCAAGACTACCTCAAAGCATCATCAGCTAATAAATGGCCATGAGGTGCTGTCTTTGCCTCGACATCAAAAGCCTTTGCATGTGGTTCAGCCACAATGTCATTTCACATATGGTTTAGACCTAGGTAGATACCCCCTTGTCCACGTCCGTGGACTACGTGAGAGATTCAAGGAACTGTCTCTGATAGAAGGAAACTGTCTCAGTTAATGTTTCTGTCTTGATACATTTGGATGTTGGAGCCTGGGTTTTCTGGGGCAAGAATTGCTCTGTGCAGGCACCCTGAGTCACACCTGAGTCACACCTGAGTACCTTGTGGCCGAATCAGCACCCGGAACAGCTCCCATGCTGGGAGTTGGCAAATTCCCTTCCAAGGAGGAACTAGACAAGGGAAGGGATGGGGCGGGGTTGTTGAGTTTCAAGCTCCAGAGCTTCCGAAAGAGGGTGTGTTGCGGGTGACAGTTAGACCAACATTACACACAACAACACGCGAAGCACAAGTCAAGTCCACGCAGACCCTATTGACTGAAGGGCCCGGTGACAACACTGTTTATGTCCCCAGAGGTATGCCGCTGTCCCCATGTGACATCACTATAATCATCTAAGACCTTAGAACAAAAAGTGGAAACAGAGGAACCCCAAGTCGATCTAAGAGAAAAGCCAAACATAAAATGTTGCATAGTGCAAGGGCCCAACGCAGCACAGAGATGGATAACTGCCGTGGACTTGGGGTGCTGAGAGTTTTCTTGGGGGGCTATGAAGTGTTTTAGAACTAGATTGAGGTGGCAGACAGGCGTTATTATCAATACACTAAATGGCTTGATTTTTGCAGGGCGCGGTAGCGCACTACCTTAATCCCAGCACTTAGTAGGCAGGAGCAAGCTGACCTCTGAGTTTGAGGCCAGCCTGGTCTACATGGAAAGTTCCAGAATAGTCTGGGCTATATAGAGAAAGACCCTATATCAGAAAGAAAAAAAAAGAGCCGGACAGTGGTGACACATGCCCTGAATCTCAAGAGGCAGAGGCAGGCAGATCTCTGTGAGTTCAAAGCCAGCCTGGTCTACAAGAACTAGTTTCAGGACAGGCTCCAAAGATACAGAGAAACCCTGTCTTGAAAACAAAAAGAGAAGAAAAAAGAAGAAAAAGAAAAAGAAAGAAAAGAAAAAGAAAGTAAAATAAAAAAGAAAAGTTTAATTTTATGTTGGTTTTACCTAAATAATTTTGTAAGCAATGATGCCAGGCATGGTGGCACATCCTATGGTCCCAGCTTTAGCGGGGAGGCTGAGGCAGGAGATAGTAAGTTCAAGACCAGCATGGGCAACATAGTAAGACTCTGTCTCAACAATAAAAAGAAGTCAGACATAGTGATGGACACCATTCCTGGCACTTGGGAGGCAGTGCCAAGAGGATAAGGAATTCAGAGCTAGCCTTGGCTATGTATCAAGTTCAAGACCAGCCTAGATTACATGAGACCCTGAAGCTTTGCTCCCCGGGTCTGGCTTCACCATGTACAACCAAGGCAGGCAGGCTCCCTCTCCCTGTCCTCTGTGGCCTACCTCAAAGAGCCAGACCAGGAGTGTGACCACACCCATGGAGTTCATGAGGCTGCTGTAGTAACTCAGCAGGGCGGCCCTGCAGCCCTGCAGCCAGAGGTTGAGCTCCTCGGTTTGGTGGTCATAGCTGTAGTGTGCCGAGTTGTTGGTAAGCTGGTACTGGATGCAGGGCCGTGGTGAGCTGGGGTTGCAGCAGCTGAAAGGGACGCCGTCCACCAGGTATCGCCCATCCACGTTGCTCTTGATGCGACTGGAAGAGAAGCAGCCTGGTTCAGGACATCTCACGGTGTCGGGCCTCCCGGCCACTGAGAACCACTTCCTCAGTCCTACACAGCCCACCAGCACCCACCACATAGCAGCCTCTCTGCTGGAGCTAGAGACAGAGCAGTGAACACTGCCCCCATCCCTGCCCTCCTGGAGTGCATGGCCCATAAGATGGAGGCAGAGGGAACACAGCAATGTACCCAGTCACCCTATGTTGCCAGGCAGGCCCCCAGCTTGCAGGGACTTCTTGGATCCACTCCAGGCCAGTAGGAATTAAGGACCTAGGGTTGAGGTGACCGCTGCTCCTGTTAGAATTTAACCCCTCACCCCTTCACCAGCCATCTTCCCCTTCACAGGCCATTCGTGAGCAAGGTCCTTTCTAGAAAGATGTTTCCAGAAGGCCTGCTCTGGCCTGGGACCTGTGCAGAGGCAGGACATGAAGACTGGGGACAGACGCAGCTCCCACCTCTAACCTCACAGCAGTGGGACCTTCCTACCCGCTTTGAAAGACAAGACTGAATTCTCGACTCCCCGTACTGCCAAGCGAGGCTCGCAGCCACTCTGTGTGTCTGTGTTGGTTTCTTTAGGGTATGCTGTGCCTTCGCAGGGATCCAAAATCCAAAAGGAATCTTCACGGTGATTCCTTCGCAGCCCCGCAGGCTACCCGTGCCACCTGACCAGGGGTGACGAAATTCCTCCAGCAGCAGCACACTGTGGTGTGTGTGTGCTGGCTGGGCACCGTGGGGCCCCTGTAGTCCCAGCCCTTGGGAGGTGCAGACAGGAGGATTAGGAGTTTAAGGTCATCCTTGGCTACCTAGTGCATTCAGGGCCAGCTCAGGTTACGTAAGACTGTCTCCAAAGATGCATACATAGATCAAGGCTAAAGAGACAGCTCAGATTGGTGAAGTGCTTGGCCGTGCAGGCAGAAGGACCCGAATTCCATCTGCTGCCCTGATGGCTTGGGCTTTGGGGGACCAAATAGATGGATTCCTGGAGTCACTGGCTAGCCAGTGTAACCTGCTTGACCAGCACCTGAGGATACCTAAGGTCACCCTCGGCCCTCCACACACCCATGCGTCCTCGTGTCCACAGATGCATGAGCACACGAACTCATACACATAAAATAAATCAAGCCTGCCTTAGCACCCTCATCTCTCAGAGTCCACATGGGGGCTGGCAAGATGGCTCCGTGGGTAAAGGGGCTTGCCAAGCTTGATACCCGTTTCTCGTCACTAGGATCACACAGTAGCAGGAGAAAACAGTTCCATAGGCTGTCTTCTGACCTCCACAGGCACGCATGCCTACAGGCACACAACACACACACCAGTAATAATAATAACAATTAATAATTGTTTTTTGAAATGGAAAATTCACGTGATAGCTTTACATATTAGTCTTAGGCGTCTTTTCACATCTGCCAATGGAGAATGTTCTGGAATTTATTTTGCTTTGCTTTCTTGTTTCAGTAAGCTATATCTGTGGCAGCCTGATGTGGGCATGGATCATATGGTTCATATGTTTGTTTGTGTAGAATACAGATGGAGAATCTGTAGAAGTGCCCTGTGTCTATGGGTGATCCTGCCCCCCCACATCATCCTCCTCCCTTGAGAGGCTGTGTCCAGCCAGTCAGGGGAGATAACCTGCCCCTCCCAGTCCAAGCTTTGCTCCCTGCAGAGGCAGTGGATGAAAACTAGCACCTTGGAGTCTTGAGTTTTGCTTTGTTTTAAGGGACTTCATCGTTATCTTCCTTGAGAGGACATGGTCCTCTCACATTTATTACCGTGGGCACACGCATGTATCACGGCGCCACATAGAGGTCAGAGGACAACTTGGGGGAGCTAGTTTGCCTGCCCCCCTCAGTTGATACACCATCTCACTCGCAACCTTCAACTTGTCTGAATTTACATTTTTCTCTTTCCAAGAGAAGCTGAGCCCCCTTGTGTGTAGACACAGCTGTGGGGCCGTTTCCGCAAGACGCTTGCCGCTTTCCACCTGCACGGGTTAGGACTGTGGAAAGACTGCACACGTTGGCCTGAGTTATGACACACTCCCACCCCTCCACGTCCTTCAGCCCTGACATCTATTCATGGGCAGGGTGCACTGCCTAAAGAATAGATGTGCTAGGTGGCGAGGGCATGAGGCGGGGAAGAGGGAACCACTGACTTGGACTTCTGCCCTTCATAGACCCATTTCATCCCTTAAATTCCTTAATCCTGGCCTACCTCAGCTTCCTCAGCTGCGAAATGGGCTCCCCCACATGAGGATCGCGTGCTTAAAGAGGGCATGGTGCACAGGAAATGCTAAGCACACAAATGGCGCCTCACTGGGCAGAGGCTAAGCACGAGCCATCCTGAGCACCTGGGAAGCCTCTATAGGCTTTGAAACGAACAGACCAGAGGACCTCCCGGGGACACGGTCACTTGTGAGTCAGTGGCTGCCATGCTTGACCTTTGAGGGCAGCTGCAGAGCAAGGCTCGCTGCCATGGGGGAGACAAGGGCTGTATAATCCCGGGCTGCCGCAGGAGCCGTCTGCCTGCCGGCGCCATTGTGCATGGGACAGCATTGAGTTCAGTGCCTGGCCTGTGTGGTGCTGGGCCAGTGCTGGTTGGGGTGCCCTCGGTAGGGCAGGAAGACAGGTTGGAGGGGTGTTGGCAGGGCCTTCAGATGTCCCTGAGTTGGGGTGAAGCCTGAACACTTGCCTCAAGTACGCCCCAAGGATATCTGAAATGAGGGTCAGACCAGTGCTCCTAAGGCTGAGGCCGGCAGAGGTCCCCATCTCTGCACCCTTTCCCTCCTGAAGGCCAGGGGACCCTGAGCACAATTTAATCTCTGGGGTGATTCCTCCCTTCAAACACCCCGGACTGTCAACGGACTTTACTCTAACCTGAGGGCGTCCACACTGAGGTGCCGTTCATCCCGCTTCTGACTTGCAGGCTACCCCTTGAGCCCTCTCTCCAAGCACATATATTCTCTGAAGCCATTTCTAGTGTCACCAGGGACAGTGTGGGTATGGCACAGAACAGATCTCAGGGCCACCTGTCACTGTGAGGCCAGGCCTTCCTGGGCCTGTGTGAGGTGGCAGGAGCCCATTCCTCACAGGTAACACAAGCAACACACTGCTGCCTTGGCTGCTCTCCACCTCAGGCCTTTGAAGAGGACCTTGGAAACCACCGGAATGTTCTGGAGAAGAGGAAGTGGGGTTCTGGGCAGGACAGTGTCTCATCTAAAACCACACGGGTAAATTAACAACAACCCACAGCAGTTACCCACTGACTTCCCTATTGGCCTGGAATCTGCCTGTTTCCCAGGGAGCGGAGGCCTCTACCCTAGGCTGGCTGGTCTTGACCTTGCCAAATATCTGAGGATGACTTTGAATTTCTGATTTTCATCTTTTCTTCCCAAGTGCTAAGATTACAGGCATGAGCAACCACAGCCAGTTTATGTGGAGCCGGGAAAGGAACCCAAGGCTTCCCACCATGCTAGGTACACATTCCAGCATCTGAGTTCCAGCCCAGCCCACTCTGGGGGCTTCTACCTGGGGAGACTTAAATATGAAAGAAACAGATGGTGATGGTGGCCAGCATGCGCCTTTGATCCCAGCACTTGGGGAGGAAAGGCAGGTGGATCTCTGTGAGTTCAAGGCCAGCCTGGTCTACAGAGCAGAGCGAGTTCCAGGACAGACTCCAAAGCTACAGAGAAGCCCTGTCTCTAAAAAACAAAAATGGAAGAAAATGTGATCGTCTACCTACTCTATCTCAGGAACCATTGCCTCGCGCCATCAACCACCCCACACTACACCCCGCACCCCACCACACCCCATACCACACCACACTGCACCATACCACACCACCCCACCACACCCCACACCCCACCACACCCCACACCACCACACCACACCACACCCCACCACACTGCACCATACCACACCACCCCACCACACCCCACACCCCACCACACTCCACACCACCACACCACACCACACCACA